GAAAAACATGAACGTATTCTTGAAGTTATTGATCGTGTTGGTCGTGAAACCGTTATTTTAAGTAAAAGAAAAGCACAGACACAAGTAATAAAATCAAAAAATAAATAAGAATTTTGATTTATTTATTTTCAAATAAATTTTCATTCTAGCAACATTTATCATTATCAACATTAATTGATAAAAATATTCAAAATTGGGAAAATTGTGATCGAACATTTCTTGTTACAATTTATAATATATCACCTATACAAAAACATACAACATTTCGAACACCAGTTAATTCAACTGCTATTCATGTTATAACACAAGTAAACAAAAAAAACGAATTTCTTTCGTTTTTTTTTTTTGTGTGTTATTAATCTCTTAAATTATAATTTATTTTTAGTTAATGACAAAAATACGTATGACAGGTATGCCAAATGATTATGGACTTGTAGAAGAAACAGATTTAAATAAAGTAAACGCTACTCGACGTATACCAATAAAACGTCGTTTATTAGCTGATGATGAAAAAATTTATGGTATACAACGTTTATGGACATCGACAAATTCAAAATTTGTATTAGTTAAAAAAGCTGAATATATAGAAACAAACAATAATAAAGCGTTTACAGACAAATTTCTTTTTCGTTCAATAGCAAAACAAAAATCAATTGATCGAGATTCACATGAAGGTAAACGAATGGTTATTTTTTTTTTTCAGATGATGAACAAAATATCACAAAGTTTTTTTTTTCTTTTTTATATAGATCTTCATCATGATCATCAATCCAAACAACGAACAACAAATAATTTAAATTCAAATACAACCTTAAATGGTTCATTAATTAATAATCGAGCAACACTTGCACCGACACCACCTATTCCTAAAAATCGTCATAATAATAAACGTTCATTAAAAACAATATTTTCAACAATGAAATCTTGATGAATAATGCGATCTTGTCAAATATTTTTCCTAGTTTTTCTTTTGTGTGCAGTTTTTTCTCTTTCTCTCTCTCTCTCTCTGTTCTCTTACTTTATTTTGTTTCCTTTTTCTCTTTTGTCTGTTTTTTGCCTTATTTCTTTTCTTTCTTTCTCTTGTTGTTTATTGCTACAACTGGTCTCTTTCTCTCTCTGGTTAAGTGAACAGTGTTGTTATATTTATGCTTTATTTTGTCTTTTAATTTGCGATCATAATTGATAGACAGAAAGAGAAAGAGAGAAAAAAAATGGTGTTTCATAACAACAATTAATCGTTTTCTTCTTCTTTTTTTTTTTGTTATTATGACAATGAATGAAATCCTTATATCAATATGTTTGATGAGGCATTAAGTAAATATAACATAAAATAATTTGTACAGATTAAACTAATATTTTATTAAAGAGGATTAATGAACAAGATAATAATCAAATGGCATAGTCTAATAATAATAATTTAAAAAACAAAAAACAGTTTTTTTCTGCATAGTAGTAAAGGACATCGTGAACTTTACATTGCAAGTAAATGGTAAAATTTTAGAAACTTTATTATACAAATCTTTTTCAACGAAAAGTTCATACCGACGCTGTCGAATGTCTGATGGGATGAAATGAAATAATGTATTTAGATATTTGGCTGTTTAGTTTGATGAAATAGTGATGGCCAAAGCAATGGTTTTCGACAAATTGGACCATAAGTGCGTACTATATGACGTAAGACTATAGTACGCGAATATCATTGATCGAATAATTGTGAAGGTCTAAGATGAGGTCAGTTTGAAAAAAATGATATAATCAATTTTTTTTGGGTTCAGCAGATTCTTTAGAAATGAAATTTGAGAAACAAATCTGTTAAAGAATTCAAATATATAAAAATCATTTGTTCCTCGTAACTATGATATTAACTTGTTTTTTGAACTTTGCTTTATTTGACTTCGATTCTATTCAACAAAAATATCGGACCCATTGCTCCTCCTTTTGCATGTTATGTATATGAATTAAATCAGAGCATTGAGTCAAACTAAATTGCTTGACATGACTTTCCTGTTATTCTTTTTTTCTGTCCTACAATCGAAACGACAGAATAAGTTATTAAAAACAAACTTCTTTTCAAATACAAGAGTTAAATTTGAAGTATATAGTGCCACCTATGTGCGCATAGAATTAGTCGAAATTTTTATTGAATGATCAGTAAAACAGAAACTTTACTTTAGCGACATATTAATTCTATTTTTCTGAATGTTTTAATAAAGTTAAAAAGCATAAAATTCATCTATCAAACAAAAATAATCATTCTTACATTTTTTCTGTCTGTTAAGAGTCAAAATTTACATTGACTATGCAGTAGCTAGATGCTTAAACTATTTCATAATATTTACAATAATTGAGTAAGAAACTCTCTAGGAGTAATTAAAAAAACAAAGCATCAAGAAAAGTTTATTTACTAAAAATATTAAATAAACACTAAAAGCAAGTTTTTTTGAAGTGGTAAGATTTATTTTTTTCAATCTGTCTTTTTTGTTTGTTTCTTTATACAAAATGAAAACAAACTAGTGCAATGAGAAAGAGACGAACGAAAAAAAAAACGTGCAGTATATCGTAAATAAAAAATAAAAACACTTGAAAAAAACAAGCGTCAGAAACCAAGGTCTTTATTTACGTCCATTGAGTGGTATATGTGTCTGTTGTTGACGAATTGATTTTCCACCACTATTACCAGGTAAACCTCTTGTTTGATCAAGTTTTTCTGCTAAATCATCTACTCGAATATCTTTTAAATGAAGTAAATGTTCTAGACGTCGAATTTTTGCTTGTAAAATCTACAAGAAAAAAAAAAAACATTATATCCATAAAAAAAAATAAACAAAATAACCTGAAGTTGTTCTTCTTTGGCAATACATTCTTGTTCTTTTTCATCATATTCAATACGACTAACCATGTCTGAACTCAAATTCTGCATTGACGTAGCTTTTTTTGGTATACTTTAAATATATATCATATATTAAAAAATAATTATCCTTCATAGTAATTCTTACTTTCCTCCTTGTGGTTTAGCTTTTGATCCCATACCTATTCATAAGAAAAAAAAAACAAAAAACAAAGATAAAAATCAATTATTGAGAAATGAATTAATAATTTATATTAATTCAGAAGGATAAATAATTGGGAAATAAATTAGCATGCAAGAATAATAAATACAAGATCAGCATAAAAAAATGGTGAACAAATATTGAATATTCTCTAAATTATTTTTCACTACCCTATTGTCATAACCATGGTCGATGTCTAAGAACAATCAAGAAAACAGAAAAGAAGAAGTAATAAACGAAAACAGTAAATTAATTAAAATATAATATTGTTTCTATCACCTTGATTGTAATGTAATAAATAAGAAGGTATATCTAAAATAGTATTATTTCTAACTCTCTATCATTTATATTTTATGTTACAGAAAAATTATACGATTTATTTATAGAACATTTTCTATTCTTACTTGCATATTTTACTGGATTTTCTTCATATTGTTGTTGTGGTGGTGGTGAATGTTGTTGACGATGACGAGGTGTTATGGCATTAGATTCACTTGTTTTAGCCTGTTGATGAAGAACTCTAAAAAGAGATAAAATATAAAAGAAAATATTTAAAAAAAAAAAAAAAAACAAAGATCTCATTCAAATGCTAATATAAATCACTCATATTCAAAAGCCAAACAAACTACTACTAATATTTAGTTTTCATTAGTAGTAAATGTTCTTAATTAATATTATATTAATTTACATTCAAAACACAAACTATTATTATATATTTAAAACAAACCGATATTGAGGATCACTAGGATTTGTTTCCATTCCATAAAGATAACTGAAAAAGTAAGCAGAAGATTTATTTTATCTATTTAAACTATAACTGAAACTTAACCCTAATAAATCTTATTTATAATACATACTCATCAATTTTAGTTCGTAAATTATAAAGAAATACTTCGACAAGTCCACTTCGACCAAGACATATGCCACGCATAACAGGTTCTGGTACATTAAGACCAAATCGATAAAGAACTTTTCTATTTAAAAGACCCCAATTAATTAATTTCTGTTGTGTACTATTCGCTGCTGCATAATTATGTAGATCAACCTATTGAAATAAAACAATCATATAAAATAATAAATCATATTATTTGTTAAAATTAATTACCCAACCAGGAAAATAATATTTAATTAATTCAGCAACCATAACTAAAGTACAAAAAAAGCAAACAAACAAACAACAAAATTTTAGTTTCAAAAATTATTTAAAAAAAATAAAATATACCACGTACCACCATCAGCAAAATCTTTTTCAATACGTTTCTTTGGTCGACTTAATGGGATTTGATCAAGCCATGCATAAAGATCTTGTAATAATTGATCATCTAATTCAATATCCCAAGACATTTTTCTTTCCTTTTTTTAAATAATAATCGTAAACAAATTCACAAATGTGTTTTATATAAACACAATAAAATGAAAATATCTAAAATGGAAGAAATAAAAAAATTCAATGAAAGAGAACCCTCTAAATAGGAAAATATTGGTCTCAAGAAACCTTTTTTCAATAATATCTTTTTATTAAAAAAAATTGAGTTACTATCAATTCATAAGTTTAAACAAACAATATTTTGTTTAATGAAATCTATAAAACCAATCGAAGAAAAATATGTACGTGTTTTCTTTCTCATCGCCATATTTCAATACTGTTACCATGGTAATAACCACACGACATAAATAAATATATTTAAACAGAACAAATTCTATTCGTAGATCAATTTATCCATTCCCAATTATTTTTATTAGTAGTTCTATCATCATCGTCGTCATCGTCCCGATTTGAGAAAGAAAAAAAGATTCTTCTTCTTCGTTCAAGGTTTTTTTTAGTCATATTTGGTACCATGTAATCATGATTTTTTTTTTCTTTTAGATTCCATCGTCTCTTTTTGTACATATTGTTAGTGTTAAATATTCAATGCTCAACAAATAACAAACAATATCAATATTGAAATAATGTCATCGTCAACAGCGACGATATCATCAAAAAATTCTACAATAACTAATAATGATCGCAAACGACCAATATCATCTTCTATACGTCCATCACCATCACCACCATCAGCTAAACGACATGGTCTATCATCATCTAGTTCATGTCATTCAACAAATAAAAATTTACGTCGATCAGGAAGAAATGAAATGCTTTTACAAAAATCTAATGAACAAAATGAAAGACAAAGTCGTTCAAAACAACAATTTAGACATATTGATAATAAAAGTTCATCATCAGAATCAAGTCGATCATCATCAAATTCGAATTATTCAATAAATCAAGAATATACATCAACAACAATACGAACATTTAATGATTCATTTCCATCAACAATGGATATTAATGGTATGTTGAATTTTAATTTTAAAAATAATTCTTAATTTTTTCTAATATAATTAGAGAAAAAGATAAAAATTCCAAATTTTTTTCTTTTTGTTAATCTATTCTAGGTTCGAATCATAGTAATCAAAACTCTGATAGACAACCAGATACAATGTATACAAAAAAGGCAAAATCTATTCCATTAATTGTTAAATCATCAACAACAATGGATGAAAAACATGCTCTTACTAATTATGATAGTGATGACGAATTTGAAAGAACCAAACAAATATCAAATAAAACTTTAGTAAGAAAATTTGTTCCTATAGTCTATATCATAGATTTCCATTGATAAGGTTTTTATTCATACGAAAAAAAAAAAAAATTCAATTCTATGTGATAATTCTTCTTTTTATTTGCTAATTTAATACAATAAATATTGATTTTATGAGAGAAACGTTATATTTCACATGATTATCAATTCAAAACACTCTACTTCCTCATTTTAATAAAAAATCGAGCTATTTTTCTATATTATTTAAATCTAACTCTACTATTTTGTAAATACTATTTTAATATGTATTATTCGTAAAATTATAGTTATATCATGTTGCACGTTTTTTTCGCACTACCGACGGTCAGTTGCCGGTGAAAGAACAACTATCAGTATACTGAGGTAGAATGACGGTCGGACGTTAGCCGACCGGTTCGTTATCAAACTGTCAGCATAGCACATATTATGCTGATCGGTCTACTGGCAATTTTTAGTCCGCTTAGAATAATATAGAATTTATCAATTATAATTTGATTGGATAAAGTGTCTTCGTTACTGTACGATTTCATATCATTATTTTACTTTGTGTAATGATGTATGAAAAGGAATAATTCAAGAAATGTAACATTTTAATTTAAAAAAAAGTTAAAGACAGATTAAATTTATGTATTTTTATCAAAAATGAGATCATAACTTATAAGTAAAATTTTTCTTATGAACAAAAAAAACAATTATTAAACTTAAATTTCTGTAAAAAACAAAAAAAAACTCTTTTCATTACTTTAGACAAAATCAACACATGTTGTTATTCCATCATCTGTAATGACAATTGTTACAACACCGGATTTATCAAAAAAATCTACACGTACAGACAATGTTATTATTCAACAATTTGATGGAAATATAAATTCAAATTCGTCAACAAAATTAGTTAAATTAGTTGTACCACAATCAACAATTTCATCATCATCATCAATAAAAATGCTTTCAAGTGGTGATGGTCTTGCATCGGCGTTACGCATTCCAACGAAAATTCAATTAACAAAAACTTTATATGTACCATCAACAAAAAATGATAAAACAACTTCTTTAAGTTCATCAACATCAACACATTCAATTAATCATGAACAACAACCTTTTCTGCCATCATCATCAATATCAACTACTTTACTTGACATTCCAATAGATATGACAGAAAAACAACCACCACAACAACAACAACAATCTGATGTTGATTATCATTCATCAACAACATTACCACCAACACCTCCACCTCCTGTAATTGATAATAATAATTCAAATGTTCGAAATGTATTATCTCATACATCAAACAAACATAAAGAAGAACAAGAAAAAAATAATGAAATTCCTACAATCATTATCAAAGGTAGAAAGAAAAAAAAAAAAACAATTTTGTTTTTCGAATTGTTTTATTAATTATTCTTTCTTTTCTATGAATACATGATAGAAAAATAACAAAAAACAAAAACGGTTGACTGCATTCCTTTGAAAATCTCTGACCTCTTTATCATAAAAAAGACGTAATAATAAACAACAATTCAATAATAAGAGTTTATCAGTATTTTAGTCATATCATACTCGACGTAAAAATTTTTATTGATATCTGATATGAGCTGGATTAGATAATCTAAAAATCAAACAAATGAGTCATCATTGTTAGTTCTATAATATTTACTCATCAATTAAATGAAAAGTATTTTTCAGTTTTTTAGACAAATATTCTTCAAAGTTTTTTTTAAAATTTGTGAATGAACAATCTAAAATTGTATTAGTAATTTACAAGGAAGTCATTTTCAAGCAATCAAGTACTTTTCATTTATAATTAGATTATTGACAAAAGTTTCAGATATATTTTAATAAGATAGAATTTCATAAATATTTTTCTTCGTGGATTACTTATAATTCAAACAAAAGAAATAACACAGGTTTTCTCAATTATTTAATTATCAAATATTTTAAGCTCATATATAATATGTACAGAATCAAAATCGAGAAAGCTTACTAGGAAATTCTGATTAAGACCCTTAGGGCTCTTGTATAGAGTTATAGTCGTTTTCAGAAAACTTAGTCAATAACACAATATGAATAGAAGAATCGAATGACAATATTTTAACTTGAAATTGTACCCGCAGATAAGTCTATTTGTAATTAAAGTGTTCTCTTTACGATATTTTAGGTTTCTCAAAAAAAAAAAAAACAACAGATTATCGAATCTTTCGAGAAATATGATTGACTTCTTGTAATTCAAGATCTCGTGAAAGGAATATTCTTTTGAGTTGAAATTTTTCAGAACATTATAGTTACAAGTAGGCTTATCTATAGGCGAAGTTTCAGTAAAATGGCTATGATTCTGTAGCGTAGGTCTACGAGCATTTTACCTTTTTGGTATTTTTAATATCTGATTCGATTCTATCTTATGCATAGAGTCCAAGCTCAAAAGCAATTTTCAAGTGGAATAGATTCTCTTGTTAGTCCTATATATATATATATCGGAACTATCATTCAGTAAAATCTACAGAATTAAAGTAATTATCGAAAATAAAGTCATATTTTGTAATTCGAGGAATAAAATTCGACTTCATAGTTTCTTATCAGTAAATAAAAAAAACAAAACATTTTGTTGTGGAAAAAACCTTTCATTATTACAAAATATTAAGAGAGAAAAGAAAATTCTATTTAATTCAATTTTTAGCTATTGAAGAAATTGATTCTTCAACTATTAATCATAATCCACATCATCAAATTACATCTAAACGTCATTCATTAAATATTGAATATGCATCTTCATTAGTTGATTGGTCTGTACCACCAACAAGTGAATTATCTCCAACATCTTTAACATCATCATCACCAGATTTAACACAAAATCATATGCCTATAGATGATTCATTTGTTGAATTTGATGCAACAATTAATTCAAAACGATCATTTAAACGTCGTTATCGTTCATTATCATCATCATGTCCAATATTACCATCATTTAAAATGTCATGTCTTAAGTCAAATGAAACAATTTTAAAACCAATTAAATCAAAATCATTAACTGGTCTTTCAAATGCATCAGTTATGAAATATATGATCATTAATAATAAACGATCTTTAACAACATCACCTATTATGAAATTATCATCTTCACAACGTATAAGAAAAAGACGACGTGATAATGAAAATATAATTTTTAATCAATCCAATGGAAAAATTTATAAATCGAAAACAAAACATCTTAAAATTGAATATGATAATCATCTTATTATTAAAGATTTATTAAATGACATTATTGAGTAAGTATTTTATTTTATTTTATTTTTGTTTTTTGATAAATTTTCATATTAAAATTATATATTTATAGAAGAATTATTTCAACAAGTGATGATACAAATAATGCTATTAAAACATTACTTCATACATCTATTCCATCATTAAAAAAACCATTACCAATTACTGTGCTTCCAACTAGACAAAGGAAAATAAATTATGTCGAACAGACAAAAACTGAAAGTAAAACTTTATTATTCACTTCTTCTTTTTGTTGCTTCAATACAGATTTTTTTTTTCTTTATTCTAATATTAGCTCCTCCTCGAACAACGTCGATTGATAAAAAAAGCTATACTTCATCACAATCATTAGATTCAACAGTACACAATGGTAATTTTTTTTTTTTCTTTTTTTAGAAAAAAATCTGTTGAATAATCAATAAATATTGTCTAGAATCTCGTTCGATGATAATGACACCGAGAGAATTAGATGAATTAGCCTATTTACTTCATGCTAATGTACATCGAGGACAATTCGAACGAATTGGTAATCCAACTAAAGTTGAAGAACGTAAGTGATTCAAAATTTTAATTGAATAATCATAATTCAGCAAATTAAAAAAGAAAATTCGTAAAAACAAATAAGTACACATTTCGAACTGTTAGAAAGTCTTGGATACATCTGTCAGTCAGCGACATCGCAGAACCAATACTCTGTGATGTCCTCTGTCAATTAGACCAGCTAATAGTGTAGGAAGTCTTGTCAATTTGCAGAAATGCCCAAAAATAGTGAACTTGTCAATAGATTATGTGATGTTTGTTCTCTAAATATATTACATAAAAACATGAATCATCATCACTTTCTGTTTAGCGACATTTTATCTAGATGTATATCATGACTTTCATTTTTATTTTTTGTTTACTCAATAATCTTATCGATTTTATGATTGATATCGTGAAAATAAACTTTTTTTTTTCTGTTCGAGATTTTTCTTTTCGACAATTTTTTTTTTCTGCATATCACCTTTTCGACAATTTTTTCTTTCCTTCTTTTTGTATCATATCATAACATATCTATTATTCCTAATATTAATACGTCATTCTTCAATTATAACTATGACAATTATAACAATAGAATTAAAGTAATCAGATGAATTTCGTCATAAAATATAAAAGTATGTTAGATATAACAAACATTATAAATAGTCTTAGAGTTTATAATATATAACATTTGAAGCATTAGAATGATATTAGTTCTCATGTCTGTCTTGTTGTTCATACTTATATCTTTCATATTCTTACTATACTCGTATGTGTATACTTTATACGGACATACGATCATGTACTAACTTCACATCCGTACTCATGCTATGGATACGAACAATCAACGAGTCAGCTGGTCTTAATTAGGTCTCAATTTAATTGATTGATTCCATCTCTAGTCTGACGAATATTTTATGATTCACAAGGAGGAAAACAGTGCACAACTTTTGGTTTTAATAGAATAGAAAACATTTTGAAAATAAAAAAAAAAAAAAGTAAATGTTTCAATTTTCTTACAAAAATCGATATATTATTCCTTCTTTTATTTTTTCTTATTTGATTTTCATTTTCAAGTACAAAATTTAAAATCGTATTAGTTACTGTTTGGAGTAACACATTAACAACAATTAGAAAATGTCAAAACAATTAATAAAAGCATAAAAAATGTTTGTAACTTGTAGAAATTGTTGTTATGATTCAACTTGAAAAGGCATACTACAAAACTACGGAATGGTGTTCGAATCTCGAAAAAAATCAACCTAACGAACAAATCTACTTTCGAAAAGCACTATCTAATTATATCTACTGGTAGAATATTAGTTTGAAGATGACGATGGAAAGAAGATCATTACACTTCTCATCCAGTCACTCTATGGACAATAAAAATGTCTGCATAAGAAAATGTAGTCAGTGAATCAGAGGATATTCTTCGAGTCTTGCCTCGACATTATGATTGCTTGAGGTTTTGTATTTCGATCTATATTTGTCGAAGTTCTTTTTCTTTCACAAATTTTCTTTTCAAGATTTGGACAATAACTCAGAAAATTTCTATTCTAATTCCCTAATATCCAAATAGCTTTGAACATGTTTTTATGCTCCAATACGAAAATATAAATCTAAGTTGTGCGTAAAAATATTTCTATTATTTTGTATTACGATTAACATTTTATGGTCGTTACCTATTAGAAATATCTCCAGTTATTACGTATCATTTTATTACTCATGATTTTTTCAGTACATCCATTACATTTTTAATGTATTATTTATCTTCAAGTAATGAGTAATAGTGAATGGTCGAAAATAAATGGCGGTGTCAATATTCCATTGATAACTTAGACATTGCCCATAGCTTAAGTCTTAATTTTGTTTTTTCTTTTTTTTGTAAAAGAAATTTATCGTTTAATTCTGTCCAACAGAGTGATTAACAATCATCATTACGCATCACTTTTAAACCCCTTTATTTTCTTCGATTTTTTCTGAAAACACGTAATTCCTAAACCAATATTATTATTTTTGGCGTGACCTGTTCTTCACTCAAGCAATCAACCATATCGACCTGAATGTGTTTGTTGAAGTGTACTGATTCATTTACTGTGTCAAGAGCACGTCACGTCAAAAAAAAAATATCATCAGCTGTTCAGAAATTGGATATTTCCGAGAAAAAAATCAAAAAAAGTGAACGTTTTGAAAATTATGTGTAATAAAGATTTTTAATCATGTAACTGCACATATTATTTTGTGTTGAATTACATGGCACATCTTTTGATAAAAAAAACCTAAAATGCGAACTATAAAAAATGACTAAGATACCAACATTTATTCTAAGGTACCCGTTCAAATTTTCACTTATTACAAAGAATAGTGATGTACCACACGCCTAGAGAACTTCTTCGGACTGATCTCAAATCTGATTGATTTTGCGTCGGATTCGAATTCGAAAACTTTAGACTCAATGAACTCAATCTCTATAAACAACTACTTTTCTACGTAGAACCTTGTTCCAATAAATTCGAATATTTGAAATTCTTTGTAATTACGCCATAGATAGAAATAATTTTTTTCTTCAAATACGGAAATTCAAGTTTTTCTTTAAGTTGATATTTATTTTCAATATACTTAGTCAACATGATAACTGATCAATGATAATAAAATGTTATTTCATGAATTTCTTGATATTTTTTTCTAATCTATAAAAATGATATCTTCTTTTAGGTATGCGTGAATTATGGTCACAAATGAGTATGCAAAAAAAGAATAGTTATTATAAACGAGTTATTCAAATTTATAAAAGACCAAATCGTGATGTTGTTATTGCGTCAGCTTCATCAGCAATAGGTATTAATCATTTGTTTTTTTTTTTTTTTTTTATTATATCGCATAGAATTTTTATCATAATATATGTTTACAGAAAATAATTTTTTATCATCAAATAATTATACAGATAATACAAATCTATCATCAATATCAAATGATACATTACCTGTTGAATTAAAACGACAAACATCAACACCATTATCATTTCATTCAGTAACTTCATCAATAACAGATGAACAATCAATTATTTCACCAGAAGATTCGAATTCAAAAACGAATATATTTACTGATATTGTTAACGAATTAATTAAAGGTGCCAAAGGTTTAGATAAATTATCATGTTCATTAACTGCTTTTGTAAATTCAATTACTAAATTTGTTCGATTAACAATTGATGAACAAATTCATACAGTTAAAGATCTTGAACAACTAATTGAAAAGTAAGATAAAACAAAAAAAAAATAAAATTATATCAAAACTTTTTTTTCTAAGAAAATGTTCGACACAATTAAATCGTGCAACTATTTTTTGGACACAAAAAATTAATTATTTTGCTACGAAATATTTAATTAAATCATCAAATGAATCAATGAATGAATTAACATTAATTGTCAAATATTTTTATTTACTTGTATTGTGTAAGTAAAAAAAAAAACAAAACAAAGGAAAGTTTAATTTTGAATATTTTTTTTTTCTATTCTCAAGCACTTAATTGTCGAAAACAAGAAGTTGAATTTGAAACAGCATTAAAAGATTTACTTAATGGAAATTTAAATCTAATTGATGAATCATTTTGTTCATCAATATTAACAAATATAATTGAAGATCTTATTTTACGTTCATCATTAGCTAATGATTATCTTGCTTCTCAACCAATAATAATTAATGATATTGAATATTCATTACCATTAATGCGTAATATTGAATTAGAAAATGAATTTTTAAATAAGAATGATACATATTTACAAACAAATCCATTTTCTGATTTTAATGATTTAGAAGATTATTTAAAACGTTGTGAACGTAAGTTTTTTTTATATTAATATATGTTTTTTTTTTGTTATTCACTTTTTTTTTTTTTTTTTTAGATATGATAACAACCATTCCATGTCATCCTATACAACAGTCTCATCATCCATCTATGTATTATCCAACATATCATCCTCCTTCTCAATATTATTATTCACCATCACAACCATCAGATATGAATAATTATTATTATAATCCTACAATAGCATATTCAAATTCACAACAAATGTATTCATATGGTCAACCAACATCTTATTATCATCCATCAACACCATATAATAATAATGAACAATTTAAATATTATTATAATTCACCACCACCACAACAACAATCGTCATACATATATCCATCACAAACGAACAGTACTAATGACATTCCACTATCAAATAATCCTCCACTTCATCGAGCATATCGACAAATGAGTTCAAACATACAAAGGTACATTTGTTTTTTCTATGATATCAAGCATTTAACTTAGATTCAAATACTATTTCGAAAAGTCACTGAAATTTTCTATTATATACATTGCTTGCTGAAATTTCAGATATGAACTATGAGAGAAAAGTTTCTTAAAAACAAAGCACGATAGTTAAGACCATGAAAACTAGTTTTAAGACTATAATCTTAAAGAGTAAAAAATTCAGAACAATTGTGAGATTGTCCCATTTCTTACGGTTTGCCTTTGAAAATTTATAAGCATCACAAAAAACGAACTTTATCATAATATTGCCACATAGCGCATTTTTTGTGATGTTAATCATATTTTAAAAAAGAGATGATAGGAAATACGGAAATTTTTCATCTAACTCAAGATTTCATCCTCTTTATAATGATAATCTTAAAAACTAGTTTTCATACAGTGTTAATTACTTTGTTTGGGTTTTAAGAAACTTTCGTTTCATAGTGTATCTATGAAATTTTGATATGAAATACATTTGATAGAAAAATTTATTGACTTTTCAAAATAGTATTTGAATCTGAGTTAAATGCTTCGTATTGAACAAAAAAGTACGTTGTTCTTATATTTTTTGTTTTACTTCTACTGTAATAAAAAAAAATCTATTTTATTATTTCGTCTGTATAGAACTTACAGTAATTCACAACAACCAATACCATCTGGTGCTACGCCAACAACACCAGCTGTATTTGACACAACAACTGTCGTTTCACCACAGGTAAATTTTTTTTTTTCAAAAATTTTCATAAATATTAAATTCTATATTGAAATGACCCTCGCTACATATACTTATACAATTTCAATAAGAGAATTCGATATTTCAAACATATTTTATTGCTCGATGATATGTCTTTGTAATAATAGTAATATAAACATGAAAAATGTGATTATTTAGTTTATCGATCATGTTTTATGGACTCTCATATAATTACTCTAATGATTTATTCAGTATATACCAAGAGATATGTTAAACGCATAACCAAATTTTATTCACTCTGTAAAATAAGACAGGCACTAACAAGAATAATCCAATCATTAGATCACCTTTCTCAAGGTCAATATCAAAATGAGAAGACTTGGTTTCATATATCTTCAGTACATATTTTGATGGATAACCTGATAAGAAAATATAATGTAACATCTATATAATGAACAAATTTCGGATTTTTCGAAAATATTCACTCTAAGGAGGTTGAATCTTTTCTAAAAGTAAAAGTTTTTTTTTTTACAGGAAACATGTGTTTTCTAGGTATCTAAAGGGTATTTATTAATGAATAAAATAATTAGTTACTTTTCTCTCTCTTGATGCATTTTTTTGTCTTGAAAAAATTAAATTTCATTATGGTTAACATTATTGGAGTTTTTCGAAAGATTTCCTTTTTCTGAATATCCTCATAATATTACTAGATATACTATCATTATATCATTATTGTTAGACTAAACTTATACAATTTAAAATATCGAATTTTTCACTCGAAAATTATTTAATTATAATTAGTTAGAGGTCATTTCTACGTAGAAATTATTTTATGTAAGATTATGATTTCATTAAATATTCATAAGAGTCTTATTTTTCTTATAGTCATCTTCAGCAGCAATAGATACTTAAAACGAATGTAAACATATAAATTGCTATTGCTGCTCTATTAGATTTTATTTGTTTTCTTTTTTTCTTCAATTAATTAAAAAATAAATCTTTTCTTCATTTCTTTTAGTCAAAATCAATGAATACGACACATAATAATAATAATAATAATTATCCACCATAGTTTACAAGAAAAACATTCTTCGTACGATATTATTGTCGTTGTATTCTGCATCAGAATACGCCAGTTTCAGTTTTTTTTTCTTTTTGTTTTTTTCTTTTCTCTATTCGAGTTGCTTTCTTCGTTTCTCTTTTTTTTTTCACATATACACAGGTGCTTGTTTCATTCAATATCGTTGTCGTCATTATTTCTTTCCATTATTTTCCCTTGTGTTTCATATACTTGCACGCTGTAAATTTCTGCTACTAGTACTTATTTATAGGTTGCTTCCCGTTTTGTCTATCTATTTATTTTAACTTTTTCTTTTTGCGCATCTTCTATGCATGAGATAATATTCTGTTGTTATTATTGTTGATGTTGTTGTTCATTTCCATTTAAGGCACGTATATAACAAGTATTCATATTTTACTTTTTTTTTTCTTTCATTAGATTAGTAAGAACAAGTTTTAGGCTATAAGAAAAAACAGCAGTAAGATTCTTTCATGTATACTGTATATACGTTTTTTTTTTCCCGTTTGTTTCTACGAACAAACATCGACAAGAGAGAACACATCCAAATTTATTGTTATTTCGTTTTTCGTATACGAGCAAAACAAAACAGTTTTTCTTTTTCTTATTCTTTTTTCTTTTTGTTCTTTACATTCAATACTTGATTTGTAGAAAGCACAAAAAAAAACATACTTATATTACTGATATATATATATCCATTATATAAATACACTTCCAATTCTTGCTTGCTTCCTTTCCTTTTTTTTTTTTTATTTCTGTTTATTACCGGTGATAAATCCACCTTATATCCTTGTTCTTTTTTTTTTTTGTTCTATTGATTTTGTCCGTCCTTTCCTTGTTTGTATACGAAAAAAGAAAAAATTAACCAAAAAGAACAGGCATATGATTATTTGATTGAAAACATTCCTTTTTTTTTTTAATGGCATTTGTTCGTAGATTTTTTTTTAATGAAAGAAAAAAAAAAACATCACAACAACAATAATAATAACATGAAAAAAAAACAATAAAGCAATGTTTCTCTATTTGTTTATCTTTCACTATCGGTTCTATGTTCATTTTTTTCTTTCATTTGTGCGCGTGTATCTATCCTATCTATTGCATCATGCTTCATCTCTTTTCGTTTCTCTTTTTTTTTTTTTTCTTTTTGTTCTTTTTTGTGTATTTATATTTTGAAAGAAAACTAAGCATACGACAACAAAAAAGAATGCGTGGGTTATTTATTGTTCATTGAGATATTTGAAAATAACACTGAAATCTTTTTTATTCAAACCATTTGAGCAAAGTTGATTATATAGTTCAGTAGCTTTTTCCGTTAATGGAGTTGAAGCTTTAACTTGTTTTGCTGCATCTAAAAAAAACAAATTATGAGATTTAATAATAAGAAGAAAAAAAAAAGAGAAAATTACTCACCAAGGGCAAGTGATAGATCTTTAGTCATGAGTTCACTAGCAAAACCACCATTGTAATCATTACTAGATGGTACGTTAGCAACAACACCAGGACACGGATTATATGTTTGACTTGACCAACATTGACCACTTGAAGAATTGATCAGTTTGGCTAATACATCTTTATTGAGACCAAGTCTTATAAAAAAAAGACAAGATTAAATTTTTCAGAATGATAAAGATTAAAAATAAATGCTTACTTGATACCCAAATTCATCGCCTCTGCAGTGCCAATCATACTTAAACAATAAAACAATATGAAATTTATTATTTTTTTACGCTTGTTACCTAATAGCCAAGAGTAGATTGTTGCAAATTTTAGCTGCTAAACCACTACCATTTTCACCAGCATGAACAATATTTTTGCCCATTTTACCAAGAATAGGTTCCACAGCTTTAAAATCATCTGGTTGACCGCCTACCATAAATGTCAATGTACCTTTTTGAGCACCCGTGGTGCCTATATAATATTTACAGATTAATCAAAGCATTGTAACAATATATATATATATTACTAACCGCCTGAAACAGGAGCATCAACAAAATTTAATTGTTTACTTCGAGCTAGTGCCGCCATTTCCTTAGATGTTCGTACGTCTATTGTGCTACAATCAATAATGTATGTACCTTTTTTAGCCGAACTAATCAATTAATTAAAAACAAAATCAAAACATCAGGAAAACTAGTTCTATCTATCATACGGAAAAATATTTGATTGACACACATCACGTACAATTTTACCATTAGGTAACATTAAAACAACAAATTCTGAATTTGCCACTGCCTTTTGTGGTTCAGAGACAATTTTAGCTTGTTCTAAAACAATGAAATAGACTTATTTTTCATAAAAAACAAAAAGAATTCTTTACTTTGTTCTTTAAAATGCTCAAGTGCTTGTGGACTGGTGTCAAAAACTGTTACAAGATGATTAGCTGCAATTAAATTTGTCGCCATATGTTTGCCCATATTGCCAATACCAAGAAAACCAACAGATGCCTAAACAAAATATGACAATTATATTTTGTTTGCTTTTTTTTCACATATAAATATTGTAACATACATATCGAGCGAATGATAAATGTACCATGGTGACTAGAAGGTAAGAATCTCGAAAAAGACAATAAAAAGAATTTTAAAAAAGACATTTATTAACCATATCCCATAAGACCCGCTAGTTCATTCATCAACATAACACACAAAATACGAGAAAAAAAACTAACAATTAAGATGTCTATGTATTAAATATATTTGTAAAAGTCAAGCCAATTAATTGATTGTTGGCGATTTTGATACAATTCCCAAGCAAGAAGTATCATAAGACTAAGTAAAAGACCACTGAGAGCACCATCAATTACTTGCGATACTAAAACAAATCGAAATAATTTTAGAAACGAACTTTTTTCTTAAATTATATATATATATACAAAGTCCTTCTGCTTGATCTTCATTATCATTTTTTGTTTCAGCATTATCTTTATTGTCGTTGTCTTCACCTTCATTTTCATTGATTTCGTTTTGTTGGTTTTCCATTTCTACCACTCGTTTTTGAGCATTCTCAATACGTTTCAAACGTTTTTCTTCTCGTTCTTTTTCTGCTTGTTTTTCACGTTTTTTAGCTTTCGCTTTTTCATTTGCTTGTTTCTTTTTTAATTTAATAGCTTGTTCTTTTTCATATCCTGCTTTACGTGTTTCAATATACTGCATAACTTTTGTAGCACATAATCGACATTCTTTTTTATTTAAACATTTACCAGCTTGGGTTTGTAGATCATCATCAAGAGGATTATTTTTTAAATCCAAATACTATGTAAAATACAAACAATAAAATGAATTATTATATATAAAAATAACAATTTTACTTCTAATTTCGTTAGTTCACAAAAAGAAATTGGTAAATTTGTAATATGATTATCAAATAAATCAAGCTGTTTTAATGATTTTAACTGACCAAAATTTTCAGGTAACTTTGTAAGATGATTTTTTGATAAATCAAGTGTATGAATACTTTCAAGTTTAATAAAGTCATCCTAAAAATTGTTCAAGAAAAGTCAATATATATTTTATATAAAGAAAAACCAAGGAATACATCCGGGTAATGATTCAATTTGATTATTTGATAAATCGATTGATTTAACTTTACGTAAAGCCAACTGAAAATATAACAAAAAATATTAATGATGAGAAAAATCAAACGAAAATCAAACAAACAATATCATTGATATTAGGAACTGCTTTTAAATTGAGAATTGATAAATCAAGTTTGCCATCTTCGGACAGATAATCTTTTAGTTTTAAATTTGATTTCGAAGACATGTTTTGATGGCTTATCGAAAATTGTATAAAATACCTATTATAGATTGGTTTGTAAGTTAAGTGAACCGAAGCAGTAGGAAAAATGAGACATTTTATTGGAATACAGAGTACTCTATCCATACGTGGTACACGTCGATTATAAAATCGAAATTTATTTTTTATTAAATATTATCATATGAAAATATATTCAATATAAATTTACATTTTTATCCAGTATTTAAAAGAAAATAGTTAAATAAATAAACAAGTTGCGTCATCTACAGGAGTTGCTACAAACGAAATCGAATTCTATGTGTCTTTTTTGTAGAAATCGACAAACATTCATATAGCAGTTTTGGTTGCTAACAAACGATATGTTTTCTGCAGCTTACGTCTAAAATTCGTGAAAATATTCTCTTGTTTGATTATTATTGATTGTTAGCGGTCCCAAAACCAAATATGAGCTTGTGAATGTTCACTTTTTAAAGTAGAAGTCATTGTTTTGCATGTCAACTGCGAATAACTTGGTGTTTTTCTGATAATTTTTAATTCTCTGTTTTGATTTATCCTTTCGACAAATGATTTCCCAAAATAAATCTTAAAACTTGGCTCATCTTAAATGGCTGCCTAGTATATATCAAATGAGGAACTCACAGTTAAATGTAGATTTCTGCTTATTTGGTTTCTGATGCAACCTCAAGAAAAGATAGATCACTGGAAATGTTTTAATCCGTAATGGTACAAGTATGAAAAGTTTCGAATTGTTTTTTATCATTTGGCTCATTTCAATGATATTCTGTATGAAAGATCTGACGTCTATGCCTTTGTCAAACTGTCAAGACAGCGTCAATATATAATGCTTTGCATTGATGAAACAGTTGACCACAACAAATAAAGATATAGCCATCGAAATTATATGGCAGTCGAAATATTCTAGTTTATTTGCAACGAGCCGTCACGAACCAACTTGAGATTTTTGTAGAAAGATGTACTCATGCGTCCATTATAGTAAGCGGTCGTTGTTATGGAAAAAATCTAAAAAGTTAAAATTACAGTGCATCAATGTACATCAACCTATGACATTTTTCAGATTGCTGACTGAATCCATCTCTACATGTCTCTGCTCCAAATCTATGTCAAGTAACCTGATTTGCATTCAGCATACAAATTTTTACAGACTGCATTTTTACATCAAATCATCGATAACTAAACAGGTACCAAAACCGTAAGACCTGATCATTTGTTCATATTTTA